GGTGAAACTCTGTCTTTCCAAGGAACAAAGGGACGAAGAGTATCAGTACCTTTAGCAAGAACCGGCCAAGGAAGAGGCTGGAACAACAGGAAAGATCTCAGTACCAACAGCACAAAGCTACAGGACAACAATATACCGCCAAACGACGAGGATCGAATGTTCAAAAAGGGTATCATCAACGGTGGGCCAGCTACGCTAACCGTAGCGTTAGCGTAGCGTAGTGTAGCGAAAACCCGCTACAATTTAGCGTAGCGTTAGCGCTTTTCTCATTTTCCGCGCTAACGCTACGCAAATGGGGAAAAAACTTGCGCTAGCGTTTAGCGTAGCGTTAGCGCGATTCCCCCCATGTGCGCTAACGCTACGCGCGCAGGGCGCAAAAAACTGCCCGCTACGCTGCGCTACAGCAGTTTTTAGCGGTTTTTAGGGGTTTTTTGCCGCTAAAAACGCTGTAGCGTAGCGTAACGCAGCGTAGCGGCGCCAGAGGCGCGCTAACACTACACCAAAAATTGGCGAGTGTTAGCGCCGCTACAAATTAGCGTAGCGCAGCGGCCGTAGCGGCGCGCTAACACTACGCGAAAAAAAAAAAAAATGGCGCCGCTACGCTAACGCTACATGGGCCTGTAGCGTAGTGTAGCGTAGCGGCCCACCGCTGGTATCATGCAGCCTTTTTTATGAATTCCGGCGTCCAATTGAGGAATAACTCACTTAAGCTAGTCAAGAGAGTTGAATTCTGGGCGCCGGTGTTCTTTGACTGGCTATTATTTTTTCTTTTTATGATCTTACAAGAAACTACAAAACTAACAAAAACATTTTTTAAGCTGATGCAATTTTTTTCACAGGTAATTTTCACTGAACTCTCAGACTCAATTTTAAGATTATGTAAAACAGGTAAAAAGGAACACGAAAACGAGAAAAAACGGGAAGAAGAACTCATCTGCTCACAATACGGAGGAGCAGTAATACGATCCAATCTGGCCGAACAAATAACAAACGAATTGGTGACGCAAACAGGACAGACCGAGAATATCCACGACCTGTTGGAATAGGACTTGGCTGGACGTTCCAGAAGCACTTATGTCAGAATTGGAAGGAAGGGAACTTGTGGTGCATGACAAAGTACAAACCAGTTGGGAAGAAAGTTCGACCAATTAATCAACCACTTCCACAACTACTAAATCCACCACTAAAGCGACCACCTCTGTCTCGAGATCCGTATAAAACCCCACTGACGCCACATCCACCGGAATTTGCACCTACAAATAAAATCACTGAAGCACGGTTAAAGGTTGTTAATTTTGGACCAGAAGGATGGCTCTGGAAAGAAGAACTCAAGCTATTCAAACATCTGATTGTTTTACGCGAAAAGGCCTTAGCATTCTGCATGGAAGAGCGTGGATTACTGAAGCATTCCTATGGATTACCCTATGTCATACCAGTAGTGGAACACATACCTTGGCAGAAGAAACCTATTCCTATACCAGCAGCAATAAAAAACGAGTACGTGGAGCTAGTGCGAGAACGGATTCGGACAGGACTTTACGAACAATCAACATCAAGTTACTCAAGCCCAGTATTCTGCGTAGCAAAACACGATGGAAAGCTACGAATTGTTCATGACTTACAAGAAATGAATAAAGTTACCATTAAAGACGCAGGCCTTCCTCCAGCAACTGAAGAATTTGTAGAGGCGTTTGCTGGACGTGCTTGCTATGGATTAGGCGATATCATGGGAGGATACGACGAACGAGAGTTAGCAAAAGAATCCCGACCTCTGACCACCTTTGATACCCCTCTTGGAAGGTTTCAACTCACACGTTTACCTCAGGGGGCCACTAATTCGGTAGCAGTATATCAGGCGCAAATGATGTGGATACTCCAGGATGAAATACCTGACAACGTAGGGGTATTCATTGACGATGGAGGAATAAAAGGACCAAGCTCAGATTACGATAACGAAAGCTTGGACGAAAACCCAGGAATTCGGCGGTTCATCTGGGAATATGCTCAGACACTAGAACGGGTATTATTCAGGATTGAAGAAGCTGGACTCACTATCTCCGGGAAAAAGTTTGCCTGCTGTGTCCCAGCTCTGGACATTGTAGGTCACGTGGTCTGTAAAGAAGGACGGCGGGTTTCAGTTCAGAAAAAGAACAAGATCACAACCTGGCCAACCCCAAACTCACTTACGGAATTACGAGGATTCATGGGGATACTAGTTTACGTCAGAATTTTCATCAAAAACCTCTCCGAAATTGCCGCACCTCTCAGAAGACTCACAAGGAAGGACTCTGAATGGGAGTGGGACCAAGAATGCGACGATGCCTTTCACAAGCTAAAGCAAATAGTCGGGGAAGATATCACCCTAAAAAAGCTAGATTACTCCAAGGACGCAGGATTAATTATTTTGGCCGTGGATTCTAGTTTTATTGCGGCCGGGGCAGTACTATCACAGGAAGAACTGGAAACAGGATTAGCACGACCAGTTCTCTACGAATCCATAGTTTTTTCACCCGTCGAATCATCGTATTCTCAGCCTAAACTTGAACTCTGCGGGGTATCCAGGATTCTGAAGAAATTACAAACTCTTCTATGGGGCCAACACTTCGAGCTTCAAGTAGACGCACAATCCTTAATTCAGATGATCAATTCTCCATCATTACCAAATGCACCAATGACCAGATGGGTGGCGTTCATTCAGCTTTTCTCATTTGACATGGTACATAAACCTGGAAAAACCTTCACATTACCAGATGCTTTATCCAGGCGACCCATCAGCGACGATGAGGAGGAATTCTACGAAGACGCAGCCGACTTTGACGAAGACGACCCTGTAATCAAAGCATGCTTTCAGTACACGATAACCTCACAATCAACAAAGTTAATGGAATGGGAATCACCAGGGTTTTGGAAGGACCTTAAGGAATATCTTGGGACCCTGAAGAAGCCAGAAAGAATGGACCCAGAGGATTTTCAAAAGTTAAGAAGAAAATCAGCCAATTTCTTTATTCAAGAGGGTCGACTCATGCGACGACATACGCCCATGGCACAACTAGTCATCTCCAACATAACGTACCAAAGCAGACTATTAAGGAAGTTTCACGAGGATCTTGGCCACAGGGGACTTGAGGAAACATATCAGCGCTTGGTTTGTCGATTTTGGTGGCCCAGCCTGAAAAAGAAGGTGAAGTTATGGGTACAGAGTTGTGAACCTTGTCAAAAGAGGGATGCTCTAGTGCCCAGAGAAATTCGAAATCCAACTGGCGAAAGTAGTCTATTTGGACGGGTAGCGTTGGACGTTTGTCATATCAAGGCCGGACGATATAAATACCTGCTGGTGGCACGTGACGACTTATCTGGATGGGTAGAAGCAGCACCTTTGGTAAAATTATCTGCAGCTAATATCAGTAAATTTCTTTTGGAAGAGTGGGTCTACAGATATGGTTCAATTAGGACTGTAACTGCTGATAATGGACCAGAATTTAAGAGTGAATTTATCGAAGCTGTGGAAAAGATTGGTGCCACTCTGCGACCGCCAACACCATACTATCCCGAGGCAAATGGAATGATTGAACGAGGTCACCGGCCAATCAAAGATACACTGATCAAGATGTGTGGAGAATCCGGCGGAAAATGGAGAGAATATTTACCATTAGTACTTTTTTCTGACAGAATTTTGACAAAAAGATCAACTGGATACTCACCGTATGAGATTGTCTTTGGGAAGAAAGCGGTTTTACCAGTGGATATTGAGATGGACACCTATCTTGGAATTGACTGGACAGAAGTAAACACAACTGAAGAACTGCTTGAGGCTCGAACAAAACAACTGGAACGGAGGGACGAGATCTTAACACTGGCTCATGAAAAGCTAATGAAAACTCGAGAATCGTCAGTCAGATACTGGGACCGGCGAATGGCAGCAAGACTCAGGAATCCTCTGGACCCCGGGGAACTGGTTCTGGCTTATAATAAAAGTCTGGAAGACCAGTGGGGGAAACTTTTTGCTCACCGTTGGAATGGACCTTTTCGCATCAAGAAACAACTTCCTAAAGGCTCTTACATTCTAGAAGAACTGGATGGTGTGGAACTGAAAAGGGCTTATGCCGCGTCACACATCAAACGGTTTTACCCACGAGGACGTAACTTTCACGACATTCAAGAAGATGAGGACCCAGATCAGGAAGACGCTTCGGAAGATGACTCGGAAGAACACTCCTCAGTGGCATCAGAATAATCGTACCTCCTGGGCATGAGACTAAACTGTTCACAACACACACCAAATCACAAAAATTTAGCTCAAAATTCTTTCAAAATCAGGCAGATGATTAATTTTTAAAGTTGGGGGAGGACTCACATTCTTTTTTATACGTCACTCGTTACTAGCACCCTCCTTCCATACACCTCTTAATTAGCTCACAAATTCAATACTGCCACATTACTTGCTTTCTTTTCATGACCATAAAACCAAAAACCTTAACTTAAGAATGATTTATTTCAATTCTTGCCCATCACCCTTCAGCTTCATTCTTTTTTCTCACCACCAACAATTACATCCTCTTCTAGTTTCTCATTTTGTCTTTCTTACTCTTACCTTTCCTTAACATCTTTTCTCCCTCAAGACTATCCTTTAAACATACTCACAAATCCTTCCAACTTTTCTTTCCAGAAAAACTCTTTTGTTGGACCAACTTTTTTTCTGGCTTCTTTCATTTTTTCTCAGCTTACCTTAATCCCTCACTCACTTATAGGCTTGGACCACTCATCTCAGGTTGAGGACAACCTGTAAAGTTGGGGGAGGGGTTTGGGATAGTATTGGAAAAGAAAAAGAATCAAGAATCAAGAAGAACTAAAAAAGGAACTAACAAGAGAATAGTTTTTGGATTTTTGTAGATTATAAAAATTTTTTTTTTTGGGTATTATAAAAATTATCTAACGATTTTTTTGGCTTTAGGAAAATTTTACCCCTTTTACAGACATCCTTTCAACCCAGGAAGAAAGCTTCAGTCTAGGAAATCAAAAACAAAACAACAAAAGAAGATCAAAACAATTAGTATTTAACTGTGAAAAGAATAAATAGAAAAACTTACCCAAGTGACGGAAGTGGCGCCTAAGCGACATGTAACTTCGATTAAGGAACTTAAAGTGGCTCACTCGGTGAGCTTGATCGCGGGGACACGAAGGACGCTCCGCATTGCAGTAGGCAACAAACCCACTGGCTGCTGACTGATAAAACGCAGTAAACTCTCGAGGACAGAACGCATAGCGGTCAAACCTTGCAGGATCCGCTCGACGACTAAGGAGGGAATCGATCTGATGGTCCCTTAGGAGATGGAACTCATCGACATCGTAGAACCCAGGAGGATCGGGCGAGGCGACACGGTGTTGACGGGCGAACGGATAGGACTGATTACTGGAGGCGGTGTGATTGCTGGAGGTGGTGTGCTGACTGGATGAAGATTCTAACTCATCTTCATCTGCGGTTGCCGACTCTTCTTGAGAGGCGGAAGTCGAAGTAGGAGGCGCGACGTCGACAGCGGACCGGATATCGCTGGGAGTACTAAGGTTTCGTGGACGAGGAGCTGGCGGGAGTGTCCACGGCTCCTCAATAACGGCTCGGTTGGAGCTCAGAAGCTGAATGTATAAAAATAAAAGAAAACAAGATTGTCAATAGATGAACGAAAGTGTATGAAAGAATCAAAAGAATAACGTACCGACGATAAATGATGCAACGACGATTCAGCGACCTCGAAAGGACGGCGAACCACCGGAGAATTCGAGGACCCTCGGCTGTTCGAAGCCGGACGACGCCACTCGGGAGTGGACTGAGGTGGGAACGGCGGATTTGGATCAAGCAAGGGGGTAGGACAGTGCTGATAAGGCGGTGAGGCTCCACCTTGATCTTGAGGAAGAAGCCCCACCAACCCTGGAGGCACCCGAGCAGCTCTAGAGGCCCGGGTGGCTTTGGGAGAAACCGGCCGCGCGATCATGCTCGGATCGGCCAACCGGCGCGGGGCAGACCCTTGAGAGTCGATCTCGATGGGGGAACCAGCTGCCTGGCCCTAGAACCCAGTAACAAAGCACAAGCCAGGAACCCGTCAGCTACATGCCTACAAAGCCGCATCCAGAAACATAAAGAATCACGTACTCTGACCAACGACGGCGGCGCGATCGGCGACGCATTCAGAATCGGAGGTCGAGAGGACTCCCGAGAGTCCAATTGTATGGGCGAACCCAGCACCCGACCCTACAGAATCACGGTCGATACCAGGCTCATCAGGATACAGACCAATAACAACAACAAAAGACTACATAAGCTTACCCTTTCTAAGGGACTGGATGGCTCAGGGAGACTCATCCGCGAACGGAGAGGGTACGGATTAGAGGCCCTAGGGGCCGGGGTATGTTTATTGAAGCGTGGCATGGTTCTGGCTGACGATACGATGGGAAGATTGACTAATGGGGAAGTGGCTGGGGAATGAGGAAAGAAAAGAAGCGATGATCGAGTCGGTTCTTATACTCCTACTCCGTTGAGGGACCTTACCAGAAAACTCACCAGCGTAAACACGTACACCTGCTGGCCAGCTGACAAACGGACGACGGCTCGAAGGTCGAACGCGTATCTCTCGCGAAGAGGGCCGGTTCTGGTGCTGACCAATGAAAAGATAGGATCTGATGCTGACAGGCGGTGGCTTACCTCTGTCCACAACCTGACCAACGAGAGCACAGGATCTAGTGCTTGCTGGCAGGTTGTGAGCCAGCAGACCTCGTACGATCGGAAGAAACGTCGAGGCCCCACGCATTTTTTTTGGCCTGGCCAGCGTGAAAGGGTTTTTTTTTTCTTCTGATTAGCGAAAGGACAAGTAAACACAGAGAAAAGAAACAGAGAATCACTTACCTACGTGACTGAGGCACGGAAAATCCGATCGAAGGCGAGAAGAACGGCGAATACGGTGGCGGTGGGGATTCGAGGGATTGTAAACCGGCTGGTTTACAGGACATCCCAGCTCCCCAGGGCCCAGGGTATCCCAATTCCGGGCCGGAACGGCGCACGCGGAACGGAGCACCCGCGACCCGGCGCTCTCGACTGCGGCCGCAGCCTCTCTTCAATCTCGCGCGACCCCGAATCCCACTCGACCCCGAACAATCAGAAAACCCCCTGGGCCCCTCCCAAGGGGCTTTGCAGGAAAACCAGGCTACCCAGTGACTCTACGTCAACGGAGCGGTCACCCCGACGTCTAATGCTGCGCAGCTGCGCACAGCGCGCAGCAACATCAAAAAAATTGTATGTAGAAAAATAAAAACAAAACTAAACTAAAAAGAATGAAAAATAAAATAAAATGCCCCCCCACCTCTGAACTATTGGGCAGAAGGGGGGTACATAGGGACCTGAGACTAACAATGGCAGGGGAAACCCTGTTAAATCACTTGTAAAAAAATTAAGTTTAAGTTTAAAAATCACAAAAATGGCCACCCCACGTTGGCTTCACTGCAAAGTTGGGGGAGGCTGACACATTCTTTTCCCAGCCACACTCATTTTTTCCCCACCTTTTTCTCCAAATACCCACTACCCTTTTCACTTCATGTCATGTTAAAAATTAACTCTTTCTCTATTTTTCTTCCCATTTTCTCCTGGTAAATTGTCTGGGGACAGACAATAAGTTGGGGGAGGCTGTGGTAGTCAAAAATGTGAAAATTAAAAGTTTTTTCTTTCTTTTTTTCTTATATATATTTTCTTCATATTATCTCTCACTCACTCTCAGAATTCACACCATACGGCTCAAGAACTGGACTCTACGGATAAATCCACCCTTGGTCACCACGGAGGCGACACTGGAACACACCTGGATCAACTCTTACCCAACACTGGACAACATCTCACAAGGATTTCACCCATCATTACATATCACCAAACCCAATTACAACCCTCAAGCTACACAGAAACCCTCAGTACAGTACACACTCATTTACATATACACTCATTTACATACATCTACACTCTTTACATTTCACTTCTACATATTACATCATACCTGCAGCCTAAATTAGTGTATTTTCCATGCATGACAGCTGCAGCTTACACCACCACACTCACTTGTAAACACATCAGAACCTGACCAATCAGAATCACTCATTCAGCTGCTTGGATCACCACTTCAACTCTTGTACATGTCTGACCAATCACATTCACTCATTCAAATTTTGTATGTAGCTAAAAATACCTCATGTAATAGCCCAGGCCAGCCAAAATCACTCATTACTGGCTGCCCTGGAGCTAAATTCCCTCACTGTTGTATATATAAGGAGGCTCTCCTCCCAGTTGTTTAATCCTCAGTCAAGTAACACTCAAGGAATATTTGACCACCTTCACACAAACACTTTAAAGCGCCAACCAAAACCAAATCATCAACAACTCTTCATCACACAAACTCATTCCTGAACTTTTACCCTATCACTTGATTAAAACTTGCCAAGCTAAGCTTGGTGGGTCTTGTTATCTGATAGTATAGAAGGGCAGAGTCTTCACTCCATCATCCCCTTCTCCATTCAGCAAAAAGGGTCTTACAACCACTTTTTGAGTCTTACAACGACCTCGAGAGGAGGGCGGATTGGCGATGAGACTTCCGGAGGGAGCTGGCACCCTTTCCTTGCCCGTAGAGTTGCGATCCTCAATGAATCGAGCGAGCTTGTGGCAGTAGTTCAGATCATGGCCATCATTTCCGCAGTAGGTGCAGTGACGAGCCGTACGGCGCTGTCGGTTTGACAAGGAAGTGGTGGTCTTGGACACAGATTCGGGGGCTTGGAGATCCTCAATGCGGGCCTTGCGTCGCAAACCCTCCTGTTTGAGAGCGGCCACGACCTTGTGTGAGGGGACGTGCGGTTCATTGAGGAGGGATGACACACATGGCATCCATTCCGCGGAGAGCGAGGTGATGATTGAGGACGAGTAGAAATCGTCAACCGTAAGTGGGCGAGCCGGATCCGCGAGAGCCTCCAGGCGTTCAAAAACCTTCGCCATCTCCTCAAGATGAGTTTCAATGTCGTCGTTCTCCATACGAAACATGGTCAGCTTGCGAAGCCAGTACATGACCCCACCCGACGACGAATCTTGATGAGCCGCTCGGAGGCCATTCCACATTTTTCGTGTGTCCTTATTGAATTGTCGGACGACACGGATGTTCGCCGAGTTGATCGTTTGGGAGATCACACTGCAAATCGCTTTGTTGTCTCGAGCGAAGGTGGGCTTCGCCTCGGGATTGGCCTCCTTGGGATCGAGGATGTAGGAGACCCCGGTCGAGTCGAAATGGATGTCCAGGACCCAGCTCCAGTCAAGATAATTGGAGTCTGGGCCTGGAGGCTTCAACTTTTCGATTGAGGTAATCTTGAGGGTAGGATGACCCGTTAAGTCGGTCGACATGGCTGGAGAGAGATGAGGAGGGGGGTCGTGGCTTTTGGATGATGGTTTAGATGTCTTGTCGCTCGGAGTCGACATGTGGGGGGAAGAAGAGGGGACCGGAGGCGAAAGAGGAAGAGAAAGGGAGTTTATCGGACGCGAAAGCGTGAGCGATTCGATCAAGCGCTGACGAGATCGAGTTAGTGGCTTTTAACGAAAAGCGAATCGAGTTTGATGTCTTTTTAGAGAAAAGCAAGCGAAGTCGTCGGCTTTAACGAAAGCGGACGAGTTGAGAAATCGATGGCTTTAATCGAAAGCGGACGAGTTGATGGCTTTTACCAAAAAGCGAACGAAGTTGTGGTTGATGGCTTTTAACGAAAAGCGAACGAGTTGTCGGTGATAGCTTTAACGAAAGCGGACGGAAAAAGAGATTGTTCGGTGATAGCTTTAACGAAAGCGGACGGAAAAAGAGATTGTTTATGGCTTTGTCGACAAGCCTACGGATCCTTCAAAAAAAAATTCGCAGTTTATCGCGCGATGGGACTCATAACCTGTTGCGGCCAACTGGGTCCAGCATAGATGGTTGAATGGAAGGATAAATTTCATCAGAGATAATGAAGACAGACTGAGAAAAAGAGAAAGAGAAAGGAAACAACAAAACAACAAGGAACTTACCTGGGTCCAGCATAGATGGTTGAATGGAAGGATGAGGAAACCATTCATCCACCTTGCTGGCCCGAGGTAACTACACAGACAGGTGTCACAGACTGTGACATGAGAGAAACAGGGAGGAAGCAGACTAGAGACTGACAGCTCACTCAACATTTAGGCAGTAGATTGTAATTCAAAAGCCTCAAGGTGTAGAGTTCAAGTTGGCCAATATGGACGGTTAAGATTTACACTCCTCAACCCTTCAGAAAACTGCTGCTACTGACGGGCTGAACCTTAATGAGCTTCTTTGCTTGAAAGCCTATCACTGACGCATAGTGTCAAAGAGTCAAAGCTACACGGTAAACCGGCCACACATCAAAGTGTCTCAGAACTTCACCACTACCCTTTGACGACCACACGATCTAAAAGGGCAGATTGTTGCTTCTTTTCACTCATCATTGTTTTTACTCGATTCAGAAAAAAAAAACAGGTAATTGTCATTTCAATCCCCCCACCCTCTGGGGTCGTTGATTCCATCAAGTTCAGCCGACGAACTGCTAGTACAGATGTATTTACGATCACTGATGTCATGGTCCAACCCCTCCCTCCATTGCATCCCACAAGAAATCTTGGTGCCTCTGTTCACTCATCATTATTCTTGCTCGCTGCAACCGTGAAGTTTGAATCGCACATTTAGCTTCGGAGATCCACCAAAACACGCAGTCACAATCCATCATGAAGGCAATTAACTTATACTTTGCCATCAGCGCATTAATGTCCAAAGTCTTATGTCTCTCGGAACGTATCAAGCATGGAGAAATCCTGTATCTGGTCTTTGACCAACAGTTTCCTGCTAACGATAAAGGTAGCATATCTGATTTTTTTCAAATAATGAAAAATCCGTCCATGGGAGCTGGTGATAACATGTTACATTGCAAGAACTTAACCGGGCACAACCTTCGGATTGTCAATTCGGAGTACGAATATTTCAGCTTCCCGCCATATTCTGAGATGGAGATTCCCTGCTCTTATAAAAAAACAGTGATGGTAGCAACTTTCGATCCTGTAGTGCCTCTTGACCAGGAGATGTTCGAAAGAATCGAGAGTCTTGCGAGGGAACAAGAATATAAATGATTAAAAAAAAATTCAAGTTAGACAGAGGATCAGCCTCCAGATGTGTTGGTGAGATTAGCACGTCGCCCATTTTATCGTCCATTTTTTCTGCGCTTATAAGTTTATTTTATTTTTCTCCTTACGCACTTGAACTTGAATGTACTTTGTGCTTCTCCTCTCAATGACATCAACCAATGTGTATTGCTCATGATTGATTTTTTGTTTATTTATGCACTATTACCTATTATTTTCTTATGCTTATCTACAGCCTGAGGGTTATACTTGATTGATAGTATTCTTGTTTGATTGTGTGGTTATTTCAGTATCTCTGATCTGTGTTCCAGCTTTATCAGATCCAATAGCGGGGTTCATGATTGAAATTGATCAAATTTCAAAGCGCATCTCGAGCTGTTTATCAACAATTTTTTTCAAAAATCAAAAAGTTGTGTGGATTGATCAGAAACCCCCAAATCTATCCAACTACCAAATTTTTTAAAATGTTGTTGATCAAAGCCTTAAAATTGGGTCTAAAAATTTAGAAATTTCAGTCATGAACCCCGCTAACCAATATATACAACATCAGAGTAAATTGTGCCGTGCTAAGAGTAATTTTGCATCTATTTCCCAGTTTCCTCCATGCATCTTCCCGCCAGTATTCCTGATTCTCATTAGCTCTTCATGAAAACTTGCCCCAAAATCCCCGGCAGATCATCTTGTACTTGAAATGCAACTCGTTGGTATCTCATACAATCTACCATATTCTTGAATATCCAGTAAATGTTCTCCCTGATTTCTACAGCTATCGCGTTGGCTATTGTAAAAGTCTCTACATGAAATAACCGAAATACAAATATTTGGGTGCTCTAGGCATTCCATCTACATTTTTTCAAATAATTCTCAAAGACATCTTCTCCTCGATGGCATTCATTGCTCACTTTTTGGTTGGAACCATTCTTGACACAACCAGTTATACCCATAGTAAAAATCAGCAGATGCGGTGAATGGTTGGTCTCCCTGGTCAGACTGTCTCGGCGAGAGAGCTGAGCCTGTGAACGGGACTGTCTGTGACAGTGTCGTTCCGTGACAGCTCACGTCTGAGTTGTCTCAGGTCCTCCCACCCAACCAACTGGCAGCCAACACTCAACCACCACCAACCTGCACCTTCGCAATCGCCATCAATTAATCGGGAAATTTATCAACACCAGCTCATTCGACTGACTAACACCTTTCCGAGAGACTTCAGGCCACTCCAATCCTTCCACCATGCTGTCGCGTCCTCAAAAGTTCGTACTCATCATCGCTCCATGACTCAATTCTGAAAATGGCTGACTTTCACTTTCCCTCTTTGCAGACAATCCATGTCCGAATTGAAGCTCCGTAGACTTACAGAGCACAACCAACGTCTCCGCGAAGATCTCGAACGTCCCCGAATCCGAGTCTCCGATGCCAGTGCGAAGTGAGACTACTCTTCTTCTCTCTTGTTCTTCCCACGCATTGATTTCTCGAATCTCAATACTGCGAAATTTTGTACATTAACCGTTTTTCCTACTTGTTATTTAAACAGTCTAATTCGGTTCTGTAAAACCACTCGAGATTATCTCGTGCCATCTGTCTGGGGGCCCCTCGGCAAGAGCGAAGATCCTTACGCCCCTCAAGCCGCTGGTGCCAGTTGTTGCTCGGTGGTTTGAGGTGAGTCTAAACGACGCACCTCTGATGACCCACCCATAATCTCCCTTTGATACGCCGAAGGTGTAAGGCCTTCATCCAATCTGATGCACTTGTCATCCTTCTTCTCCTCTCAAGCAGTCCGCTTTCCATCCAGTTACTCACGCATCATATCGGAGTCTAATGTTGTTCGGAAATCCATTACGGTCTCATTTCTCAAGGAATTGACGAGTTGAATCACCTTTGACGCGAAAGGATATCATAACCGCTAGCAGTATACTCATTTCCCTTCCAACTGTTCCACTTGATCTGGAACGTCACTTTCACCTTTTCTTTACCCTGTTGATCCTTTTTCTTCTTCATCCAACCTGTTCTGCCTTGTCCATTGGTTCTATCCTTTTGCCTATCACCAGTTCGAAAATCTATGTCGTTTCTCGTATGTACTTCATCCCTTTTGTGTTAAAGCAAATTTGATTCTCCCTTGTAAGCAAAGTGGCCACTCATTTTTCCTCAAAATGAACACTTGTTTCCCTTTTTCTCTTTCTTTTCTTTCCTCTAAACCGGGAACATGGTACCAAGACTGTCGTCGCCAATTGAACTTCATGAGTCCTTAACGTGCTTGGTGTTGTACGTGTAAATGTTTTTGCTTTTCAAGGCGCATCACATCATCATCCAATTCGGACACAAAACCGAGCAAACAGGACCCTGGAAACCCCCGAACTATGTGGGTAACCTGAATGTGAATTTTTCAGAAAAAAACGAAAATCATACTCACGAAAGTGGTATGAATGAGTTTGGTTGCCTGAAAGGTTACTCACCAAACAGGCTTTAAATGTATGAATATCCGCTAACTTGGGGGAAAACCCCCCAAAAATGGCCCGGTCCCCGCCTCTTCCGGGGGATTTTCTCACTTTTCGGGGAATTTTAGCCCGAGCTTACTCACGAAATGTGTATGAATGGGCCCAAATGTGCCATTCCCTGGTGCCCCCCGATGTATGAATTTAGTCAAAATTCCGGTATTTTGGTTACCCACATTTATAGGGGGTTTCCAGGGTCCTGAGCAAACTCAATTGCGGGCTCTTCACAGGTTTTTTTGCCTCGGCTTGCCACTGGTAAAGGTGGGTTTTCGATCTTCGGATAGTTAAATGGACAGGATTTATGTACCACCCCAGTGACATTACAGGACATTGCATACGAGTTTCATTCAACACAAGACCTACGCAGGTGTTTTGGAGCCTACTGCATTGCACCGATCGCTTCCGGTCAAGCCGAGGGTATTTTAACACGTTGCCATGATATGTAGTACTTTGCTAAGGACTCCTCCACGCCTTTTTTGGTATATTCAGTCTTTTATTCCTCTCTTGTTGATAATTCCGGTTTTGCTATCCTCTTTGACATACCCAGCATTGGCAAATGTCCTTCCTCCTGGCATTCGTCTTGCGGATGATGCCTGAGACAGGTGAAGAAGGGTTTCAGACAATGTAGGTCCCATTCAGCCTGTGCATTGCCGAGAGGTGGGTTTCTAACAGATGTTGATGACGAAACAAAAAGACCATCAGAACATGTACGAGAAAGAGTGTCTCGTGCCACATGGATACCACATGTGGAAGCTCAGTCATGCACTGTCCATTGGTACAAGCATGCAGGGTGGAGGCATAAGTTGCCAAATATTGCCATGGGTAGATTCACCGAAAGGCTCCAAGACTATCGCGAAGGTTCCTTATACCCATTTGAACCCTCTAAGATGACTAATACCAGCTGGATTATGAGGATTACGTTCGTCACTTTAGCTCTACTAGGCACCACTCGGGGAGCATTTCCTCACCTATCAGCTACTCCTGCTCTGGAATCATCAGAGCTTCCTAAGCGGCGGCGGCCTGATTCGATATTCGAGGCACCATTTCCTACGGAGGACGAACCTGTTCGAGGTACATACTGGATGTTGCAATGGCAAATGTAACTCCTATTACTTGCACTGTTGATTCACTGACTGGTTGGGTTTCCTGTTAACTCAGACGACGAAGAACATCGACCCAAGAAGCCTAGATTGCAATGTGAATCTTCATCTGCATCGGCCTCCGGTGCCGGCGGAGAAGTGGGCGAAATGATACATTCCAGCTTTCATCCACGAGAAGAATGCTTACAACACTACGCTTGGATTACCGCACTGCAGTACCCCATGGGGTCTAAGACCTTGCCCAACGTACTAGAAGATTCGTTTAAATTCGCATTAGGTCCAGGTAACCCAATTCGAAATCTGAGAGATGTCATACAACACTATTTTCCTGGAGAAAACAATATTCTTCAAAAACTATCGAAAATCTGTGCGATCAATGAACCGTATATTTACAATAGGCTAACGCTCTGGCTCAAGAGTGTTTGCGCCCTAAATCTGGCATTTACCACGGCTTTTATAGAGATAAAGGACAAGAACGACTTTTCACGAGAACTAGGACGGATCTTTCAATGGTTTGCTGAATTATTACATTATTCTAGTAATCTTCCAGTTTTAGAAATGAAAGAAGACTCCAACCCCAAGCCATTCCCAGCTTTGTGCAACAAGTTACTTATTTATTTGTCAAATGAAGAAAGAGATCAGCAAGGCCTTCACGCGAAATTTTCCGACCAAACGTTTTGGAAGGTCAAGACATATGCCTCCGCTATCACTCATAATATCTCGCATTCGGAAGCACTGAAGACTCAGTTGACGATTCACTTTTTGGGAAATTATTATAAATCATCTAACGAGGAAAAATGGAATTACATTTTTGAAAGTGATGAATCTTTCGTCAAGTTGTTCAGCTTAATGAGGTATTGGGAACCTCGGGGTAAGCTCCAGGTACGTTTGGAGCGAGGCCGGCTCTTCTGGATTAGCAACCATGGCGACAATTCCTTCTTACCATGGACAGACAGTCTTGAATTTCAAGATCAATTCAAAATGCCAGCGCTCATCGATCGACATTTTTACGACGCATTCAAGCTCGACTTGGACGAAGAGATTAGAAAAAATCGTTTGTTTACCTCCAACATCGATTTGAATCAGGAGCTGGACTCGAGTAGTTATATCACACCGGGTATATATCTTTTCCTTTTTTTTGTTTTAGACACTTCAATCTTTTAGCGAATCAGATTTTCTAACGCATTCTCTATTTCTGCCCCTCATGCGCCATACGGTTTTCCTTACCTGATTTTTCAACCTAATGATCATAAAACAAACAAAAAATTTCTTGATGTGACCAAATCATTTCATAGATGAAAATCCTATGATTTTTGACGACAAGGGTGCTCGATTGGAACACTACATTACGATAAGCGCGATGAAGCACCCGACCAGGGGAGAGTTCAAAAACAATCCTCAGATATGGAGATTGTGCAATTTGAAAATCAAAACAAGTTCTGCTTATAGGGATCTTATCAGCGCAAAAGTAGAACCAAATCCCCTTGAAGCGTTGGATGAAATTCGAAATCCCGTCAAAGTAACTGCTTATTCTCACGTAATTCACGGTGTGGACAAGTTGATACCACTGATCACGAAGATAAATCACGCATTCTTATATTTTTTCTTTCCGCCTGGACCATATCCACCTGAATTACGAGATCCATTCATTGAGGAACAAGTATTACTCGTATCTTGGTTTCTGAAAGAAATCAAAAACAAACTTCCATTCTTTGCTTCTGACAATCTGAATTCAGGGGAAGCGGGAGATTCTTCAAGATTTGGACGAGGAAACAGATTCCACCAGATGTTACTTGAGTTCTTCCAGATGAATTCAAACCAACAAATGGTAGATGCATTCAACCTTGAACATCAAGAGTTAGTTAGAAAAATGGAAGAAAACACAACAAAAGCCGGCTGGGCCGCCAGCACAAAAATGATTGACACCACAGCATTTGAAGGATTCCAAACCCAAGTTGTGCTTCACATCATTGCAAATTATTACATACAACAAAACTTCACAAAGTGGACATCGCTTTTTGAACGTGATTTACAATTTTTACAATTGTTTACAGAGATAAAACTGCTTAGCATGCAAAAATGTTACTCCTGTCGATTGAAACGAAACTACCTGCAATGGGGATCTATCCAACTCTTTCCATGGGTCCAAGATATTCCACTTTTTCAGATAGAAGCTGAAAGGATTCATATAGAGGGATTGCTAGCAATTTGTAGACAAAAAAGAATTGAAGACTTACATTACAATCAGGAATAGTACTGGAGTACTTCCTGTTGTAATTTAGAGTCCTTTTTAGACCTCTTTCAGTCCTAAATTGACAACATAATCAAGATTGCAACCAGTTCACATGAGAGCCATTGCTAGAGGGTTTCTGAAAAACATTTTTTTTTGACCAAACATTTTGTAAATTGACTTCTGTGAGGGCCATAGATTGTGTTGGGAAGTCAGCCACTAAATCATACAAAAAACCTCAATTCCTGAATATTTGGCTTGAATAACATGAAAGAAATTACATCAATATGAGAACTTCAACTTCAAAACTAGGGATGATTCAGTTCAGGCTTCAGCCTACAAAATTCAATTATGCAGCCCAATGACCATTTTAATCATTGAAGCACCCCTAAGGCCCCATTTGGCCGTCTGTAATCTGTAATTTTGAGTCAAGGTTTGGCAGGAGTTTGTGCAAAAACTTTATATTGTTTGATATTGCATGGTCCAAATCCGTGCCAAACCTTATCCAAATCACAAATTGTGATTTGCGGCCAAACAGGGCCTAAAATATATCACCTTACTTGACAAATTATAGCGGTGTCTATTAAACATGATTCCCAATCCCTTTCCTCACAAATAACCTGTAGCTGTTGAAAATGGCAAATTCTCTATTTCTCAAAAACCCAATCATATGATGTACAACAACTGGTACTTTTGAGTAAAAAAATCACAGCTGTAATATGTACACATAATTATCCATTTTTATTCCAGATATGATTGAGATTTTTGTGTTTATAAGAAAATAGGTCCAGGCACAAATTGTAGAGAATGTCAAAATGAAGATGTGCCTGGTTGGATTCAAACAGAGACACATACTAGAGTGTTGCCCTTACCCACTAGGCTACACCCCTATGACTGCCACTAGGGTAGTTGGGTGGTAGTCCTCATGGTTCAATCCAACAGCATACTGTGGTGATACATTATGGTAGCAGACTATCATACACATCAACACAGAGAGAAAAAAAGAAAATGAAATGTCTAATTTACATGTTTTTGGAAGCCTAATGCTTTGACATAATCAGCTTCTATCTCACCCAGCCACTTGGAGACCTGAGCATGAATCGGAAGGAATCACATTCTTTGATCCCTTTATGAAAATCAAACCTTTCAGAACTTCAAGACCTGACCATCTAGTTTAGGAATTAGGTTGAAATTGTATTAGTTACAGCATAAGAATTTTGCCATTTATTCTTCTCCACACCACAAACACATGCTAAGTAATAACTTTTATATCCATTTTCCAGTATCCTTTCAAAATGACATCAAAATATCTGAAAAGTCAAAACTTTTGGGGTTTAATCATGGGTGATAATTGGTAAAAAAATGCTTTATAAACCAGCTGCTTCAAGCTCTTCAAGAACTTTGGTTATTTATTTTGAAGCCTCACTATATTTGAAGATTCATATTATTTGGAGTTTTTGTGTTGTTGTTTCTTAAAAAAAAGGCAACACAATTGACTGTTCTTATGTTGAATTTCTAGTAACGTGAAACAACATTCCAATTGATTAGAAAATTTGATTGATCTGAAAATTCTCCGTTTGAAAGAATGATGAATATGCAGAAGTGAAGACTTACAACATGCAAACTAGTTGGACAATAACAATGTGCGTTTAGACAGAATCATCATGATTGCAAGGACGCTCATCATTATAACGACAAACACAAAGAGGCCTCGAATCAATATAGTCCCGCATAAACCCATGTCATGAAGCATCACATGGTCCGTTACTCCCGCTCCAACCGATAAGACTGTATCGTGGGTATTGGAATTTGCTGTGATCAGGCCATCCCGACAAAATGGGCATGCGCGACCTGGTTGTGAGAGCCACTTGTTGATACATTCTTTATGAAAAATGTGCGAACATTTTAGCTGCTGTATCTCTAATGTGTTTTGATCACTAATATGTTTTTCCTGTACTATAGGTTGATCAGGGAACTGTCGTTCTTCCAATGCGGGTTGATCTGGAAATTGTTGTACTCCCAATGGAGGTTGATCGGGAATCTGTTGTTTTAAATGATTGAGGGCCGCCTCGTCGAAATCTTCGAAGCAAATGCCACAGGCTTCCCACATGGAAGGGCTTTCGTCGTCGATAACATGAGTGCTTGGACTTCCTAAGCTCGTTCGTGCTCTCTGGTCTGTTACTTCAGGTAGCTTGTTCGCTCTTGACTGTAGCTCGATGTCCCTGTCCTGGGGGGATGAACAAGACGAGTTAAACGAAGGCACTGATTTTCTTCTCTTGCGTGTCAAAAGTAGGGGTTCAACTCACTGAGCCATTTGATCCATGGACACATGTCGGGGAATGATCAAAATTTCCAGAGTGCGACAGCGTATGCGGCGTCCCTGTCGATGAAAACGGCTCCACCGAGATTGAGTGGAAGGCGGGTGGGGGGATTTCATCCCCTCCACGCGCCCGTTCGGACAAGTGTCCTAACGTAGGCCGAATCGGTTCCTGAGGTCCATCGAATCCGAAGCATATCCCCACGAACTATTTTGGGAGAGTGGGAGGGGAGGGGGAGATTGTCTGTCAGTTTTACGGTGTCTCGATGGCTGCTTTGACCGGAAAATGAAACAACGGATTGCTTCTTACGAGGAAAAGTAGTACCGAGTAAGGCATTTGCAAAAATTTGTGGGTGCTTGCGGCGGCGCCAATGGGGGTTTTGTGAGTCTGCTGATCGTCAAATCAACTCACATGAAGGTCTTTCCCATCGCGAAGCACAAGCTGCTTGTATGATTACCGTAAAGGTCAAGTGAAGATTGCCCCCAGGCTTCTTGGGACAGTAACGGAGACTAAAGTGGGTTGTTCAAGGGTTTGACTCCCCGAGCACCCACAATTACCCCTTACAATCGTTTTGATAGCTTACCCCGCAAGAAGTGCAACATTCGCTGTAATATCTGAGGTATACGTACATTTATTATGTATAACATGGCAAGATGAGGAAAGCACAGTTATACCTAACTTAGCTAAGTCCCTCTATGGGAGGGGGATGCCGTCCCGCAGGGACCCTCAGTTGACCTCCGGCAAGCCATCGGTCAACTGCCGGAGGGACTTAGTTAAGTTAGAGTTATACACAGAAGTTCCCGCACAGATTCAAGAGGAAAAATCGAAGGATGTGATGATCTGATCACGCGGCAACTTGAAACATAATCAATATGTGTGGGATTGGGGTGGATGAAATCTTGGTCCTTTTAATTATCCTTGTAAGACTTGGTTTGTGGGAATACATGTACAAGACACTCCTAAAACGTAAGGTCTGCCACTGTCTGCCATCAGGAAGAAAGCGTTCGGGGAGCTCATGTAATTATTTTTCTGATTCCAAAACTGGAATAGGCCGTTCCCACTTTCCCTTAAAGCGAGCTGGAATCAAGGACATAACGACAGTAGCTGGAATCAAGGACATAACGACAGTACTCGATGTGCAATGGTCGAGTTCCAAGATCAGGTTTTTGTGTCACAGGCCCCGTTTGCGACAAAAGAACGCCGCTTCTTAAGATTGACGGAGGTCACTCGAGTTGTAAAACTCTCAACTTGCGCCTCATTCTCCAGTGAATGTTTTCCAGTCGGTAAATGGCGAAGTAAACTACAAAAGAAAGATGATTTGATCAACAATTGGCCACGAAAGCAATTCAACTATATCCCGTATGGAGTTTTAGTACAAAAATGTAAACCGAGTAGGACATATGGGCAGGAATGGACACATGATGAAAAACGAAAAAAAAAAAAATCAAGCTTCACTTGGGACAATGTTCTTGGATCAGAATGGTGGATTCATGTCCGGGCCTGTGCAGGTTTGAAGGAACTTCGCCTTGTGCGCTCATGGGATTATTGTCCAGAAACATCTGTTGCAACATATATGATTCATTGCAGATCTTGGCTTGATTTTGAAAGCATATGAGGAGATTCGAAGATATAAGCGCCCGGGGTTCCAGGAAGAACCAGACAATCTAACTATGAAGGACATGGCAAATGATCCGACGTAGTGAAATCGTGAAAGCAAATGTCGCCAAGTGGCACCAACACACACGCGAACTTCCGCGCAGTGTATGTACGCGTATCCGGAAGAGCGCCCTTCATTATTCATAGGATTGCTGGTCAAACCATTCTCTAAACAAGTATCTGATAGAACAAGTAACCAAAGATTATGGATGCAAGTACAATGATCCCGAGTGTTGGGCATTGTTGCGAATACAACAAGATACCCGGGGCAATCACTGCTCGACAGATTGGGCAAGCATGAGTAACAGATGCGACCCTCCATTTTCCGATGCAATCTCTATGAAAGATGTGACTACAGTATAACCGTCGACAAGCGCGCTGGTCTAGCTCCTCCAAGCAAATGATACAACGTGCCGATTTGCCTACTGAATTGCTTCTATCATGGGTGAAAAGCGCTATTGAAGCCTGCAACCACCTCAGTCCACTCCATCGACCATTATCCGGAGGATCGCTCGCTGTTGCGCGCAGCTCGTCCTCGTCTCGCTGAAGGTATTAACCGCATCCACAGTAAGAGGTGGTCAGAATTCGAAATTGCTGTGATTCAGTTCAAACTAACTCACAGGCTCGTTTTGATGGGAATTGTATTGAGGAGCTGCCGAAAGTGAGGGTTCCGTCAAATCCTCCGAGTCAGAACACCGGTGCCTCGATGACGGTCCGCTGGGAGTTGGCTCTATTGCGTGGATCAAGTGTGGCACTTGATCAACTTCGCGAGCTAGATCCGACGACTCTCCTAATCCCAAAAGCCGTGTCCCCTCTTGAGGGTAACCAGATCCAAAGCATGTCCCGGCAAGCTGTTTGAAAAGAGATTTTCGATTAATTTTCTTCATTCTCTCGCGAGACGCTGAAACACAACAGTTCAACAGAGAGGTAACAATTACTAGGAGTGAAAATAGCCAGTGACCCATTAGCGGGATTCACAAGTGTCGATGGTTCCTGTGGGATCTGCTGAAGGAGCTGATTGATTTAGTGAGGAGGGCTGTAGCACGGGAGCTTTGATCAAGGCTGTCAGATTATCTAGAGGTTGTGGCCCATAGTGACAGCGCGCCACCTGGCCATAATGTTGCCCGACACATTTATTTAGGTTAAAGTGCCATGCCGTTGTAGAGCCAGAGTTCCACAGGTCCGGTGATCAAACGACGGGATCCTCGGGGATAGTGGGCCTTGTTGACTCAGGAAAGTTGTATGGAGAGGTCACATCATACAGTAGCCTCATAGAAGGACTTCTCCCCACCACAAGTCCCTACATACAACAAGAAATTCAAGCTGGGGGAAAACAAATCACCAGAGCCATCAAGCAGCTGCATTCATACTCATAGGATCAGATTTTCCGTACGAACAAGATCGAAAACACAACAGAAAGAACACGACGTTAGACCCCGGAAGAATCTATGTAGACTGATGACGGGCAGAAGGAAAACGAAGATGAAGGAAATAAGTCCACTTGATGCCTCGATTACCAAAGCAGAGATGGGCATACTTGGTGGTAACAGTGCTGTTTGATAACGCTCGCCCCATGAGTAAACAACCCCAAATCCAATCAAACCGATCAGATACATACCCCCGCCCGTAAAATCCGCCGCTTCCGTTGATGATGCGAAACGAATGTGGGCTAGGAAGCCTGAATCAATACAATTAGTAAATATTTATGGGAAAAATATTGTGGAAGAAGACATGAAGATCTTGCGCTCTGGTGATAGAGGAAAACAAAGATATAGACAATTGGTACCATCCCGCCTAGATATTCCAGACGACAGCATATCTTCAGGAGACAATATCCCCTCATGAGACAATGTATCTTCAGGCCACAATGTACTGCAACATGACCAGATAACCATTTCATGCGGGAATAAGATAATAAAGAATCGCACTTGATCACAAAGCGCTCCAATCATACAAGAGTCTAAATGAGAAAAACAAAGATTTGATTTGGTTGGTCATTTTTCAACCTGACAAACCGTCCCGTCTTCGTTGATTGTAAAACTGAGCCAGATCTTTGATAAGTGAGCCAAAGCCCTCCGTAGTTTTGAACCCAGCCTTGATCCAATCGGGCAATCGATTCACATTCTCAGGTGCTCCGTACCTGGAATCCAGTAGTATGATTGCTGACCAATCCTTGGAATGTCTGATCGCTCTACCTTTATTTGAATAAAAAAACAATGGAATGTTAATTGGATTCTAGGGCTATAGTCTCGAAAGTTTGGCATGGGATGGATGTATCGCTGAGCTATGTGGACATAGGAATATGCAAAGCTAAACTAACCTATAGACTGGTTCTGTGATCCGAAACGGTATTCATTTTTTTGGAAAAGAAATACCATACATGTCAATATTTCCAAACTCATCATATAATTAATTAGAAAAGGAGGTCACATTTGTGAAAATAGAATGCTACACACCACTGCCTTGAACGCCAAGTTAGCATCTGTTGAATGATCGATTGATGAGGGAATAAAAAACAGGAATAAGTGTATGACTGATAAATTTGGGCGCCCATTGTAAGAATTTTATAAATGGGAAGCAGGGAAACTAACAGAAGTTTTTGCCGGCATCTTTTTGGGCACCTTTCAAGTTCTCAACATATTTGATTCGTTCCTTCAATTCGACCGATTGAGAGTTGGGATAAGGGATCCCAATAACAATTACAGCCCGACAAAGATTATTGGAGACTAGGGTAGAACCCATACATACAAATTAATATGACAAGTGAGTTATCCTGACAAGATTTGTGGATTCCAAAAGATTCTCACAATTGATACCCTCCGAGAGTTTTCCTCCGACGACAGCAAGCATCAATCCTCCACCAGATACAGAGGTTGGATTTGTTGATTGATTGACGGCTGCCGAGTATCCATTCAGTATCTTATCAACATCCGCTGCACTCTTCGGTTCAATAAAGATCTGGCCCCCAAAAAGTTATTATATGGCGTTCTTAGGTCAATGGCTATGCAGTCAAAATCCGACAAAGCATTCCAAAAAGAAGAGAAACAAAAGATGATGATTTACCTTCTTTTTATTTTCGAGACGTGTCCAAAGCCCAGTCTTCTTCCATCGGTCCGTTAATGTATCTAAGGAAGCATAGGACGGGAAAAAACAAATAACTCCATCTTTGATGATGTTGCAAATATTGGCAACGGATTGACCCAAATCGTTCTGCTAGAGATTTGCATTTTTTTTTTCAAATAGTTTCAGGATGCAATTGATTGTGAAACAATATGCAAAAAACGACTGATAGGAAAAGGATTCATGATCATACCATCTTTGGATCGTCCTTCGAGCTGAACTTTAACTGAAGATTCGTGCCCATGGGCCCCTTAGATACAGCCCTGACCAACAAATGTTCTGGGGGAACAATCTGAAGATGGATATTTGACAATCAATAACTGTGATTTGAAGCGGCTGTGTGTCTCTGAGCGGAAGGAAAGAATACTTGCATGCGAACAAGAAAAATCCAAGATTTTCTCTGGGCTGACGAATGGGAACAACTGTGAATGGAAGTCATCTAACTGAAACACAACCGGTAATTAATCAGAAAAAAGTCCGGTCTACTCATTTTGAAAAACCTGAAGAGAGTAGTTTGCATTGTGGACAGGATGATTTGATGACTATGTAGTCTAGGAAATGTTATCATAGTGATGAAACTCACCGGGGCCATGGTTCCACCTGCTAAAACTACTGATCTTGCTTCGGAAACGATATCTGAAAAGCTTGACGAAGCATCAAGAAGTTGATACTTGATGGTGATAGTAGGTTGATCGGATGCAGTGGATCTTTCTGAGACCATCAGGATTCTTCCATCCTTATCTGCATTCGACATGGCTAATATGAAGGCTTGCATCTTGTAGAATGCTGTAACCAAAGTCGAGCGAGATCGGGAGCTTTTTCAAGAAAGAAATAAAGATGCATGATGTAAGAGCCCGAGACACGTACACCGAAAAGTATTGCGAAAGGCCCTTACAAATTTGAATCAGCTTGTTGCGCGCTCTGGTTTTTCTTTTCCACGTCTGCGCCTTTGGTGGCATAACCTGCCACCTTATTGATAATTTTGCTTTCGTGAAGGTATTTCTCAAGCTCAAGAACATTCAGCTGATCCAAAACACCAGAATTCTCTAACAGAGTATTCGTCGTCACAGTTTCTTCATGCCGGACTTTATTCGGAGGAACGTTTTTGGACCAATTCTTTGAGAAGTTGAGCAAGCATTTGAACACTCTCAGTAAATGCTTTAGATGGGCCAGGTTCGTCCCTTTCAATTTTGGACTGAATTTATTGACGTAAGTATCAAAAGCTTTGTGGATTTGGCTGATCAAAGTATTGGACAATGATACAGCACGAATCCCCAGGATACTATCAATTAAATTATGTGCCTCATCAACAATCACTACATTTCTACATGGGTTAATACAGTCAGTCTCTCCATCAGGTCACAGCATTTGTCTCAAAAATCGCCTCACTTTTCCAAAGATATGCCAAGAGCTTCGCGTGACGAGTTTTGGAGAAGCTAGAATCCGGGAAGCTTGTCAGCAAAGGGAAATGTTTTTGGAGAGCTTCTCCCTGAGACCCACCAAGTTGTAAGGGAGGGTGACAATCTGTTCTTGGCAAACAAATCAAAGCCCCCAAAAAAAGTGTTACATCAGATTCTTGCAGCAGTCTATTTCCAAGCTATAAGGCGCACCTGAGCTCTTCTCACCGCCTTACGGGATCCATAGTACGGGCAACAGTTCTGTACCCTGCCTAATTCGGCTAACTCTTCAATGTCATGAATTTGAGCCTACCAACCAATCAATGTGGTGAATCTACCGAAAATCACTGCCTCAAGGCTCTTGCATGGTTATGTGGCGTCGAAGGGTAGTTCACATACCAATGCATGATCACGAAAGTCGTTCATCCTGTCCTGTTCGTCTAGAGAGGGAAGATGTGGACATCGTTTGTCTTCACGTTCGAATAGCACGAGATCAGTCATTTTCAGTTGACTAAAAAAATCTACAGACCGAGTCCCACTGTTCACCTGATTTCTGGAGGTCCATGCATGCTTCATTGATTGCTTCTAAGGTCTGGGCTTTGTCTCGTACGCTTCGGTTGATACATAAGTTTGCACGAGAGCCAAGAGTGATTACCCGGACCTTATCTTGAAAGGTGGTCTTGCGAATTTCTGAGATGAACTGATTCAACTGTGAATGGGTCCGCGATGTGAAATAGATCTGCAGCGGCACATTTTCAACATGATCGGAAAGTGATAGGTATTATAATTTTAGAGTAACATTTTGACCCCAAGATCGAAAATAAATCGCACCTTGACACAGTCAGGCTCCAATTCGACCTCTCGATGTTGAGGCTTTGGACCAGTGTATCTGAGCAGACCCAAAACCGTTTATTAATACTTGACAGTAGCTTAGGTATAGACACCACTTGAAGACAAACTTGTCGAGCATTTCTTGTACACTTCGTGGAAGTCCGTTTGGACCGACTTCATCGGTTGCCTCATTAGTTGATTCTGGTGCGAAGTCCTCGTCGGAGTCATCATGAGCGTTTTCAATTTTCTGGTCGGTCGTCAAGAGCATCAGCCGGTGTTGTCAATTGGTGAATTTTAAGTGGAACAGATGTATGAGTTAGGTTGACGAACGCGCTTTTTGAATTGATGTGGGTGCTGGCGACTAGACTTTTGTTTCCTCTTCAATTCTGCTTCTTGGTTACGAATGGCCTGAAGCCGCTCTTCTAGTGCATCTTCTTCGGCTATCAACTCACGCCGCTTGCGTTCGACATGTTGTTCGAGTATCCAATCAGGTTCTGGAATTGACGATGAGTAAACAATCCATTTTCCTGGTTGTCATCATGAATGGTGGTAGGGTGAATGGGCTGACCCTGTGGGGATTCAGCCTTGAGTTTTGCGAATAATTGCTCCAGTGTCCCTTCGGTTGCCCTCCTTCGATCCAATTCGAGCCAAGTAAGAGCAGCGCAGATCAAGGAGAGTGATTTGCCCTGGTGTTTGTGGTGTGTAGGACGAGTTAGTTGGACGGGCTGACTGGGTTTGTAAAATGCTTATTTAGGTTGACTGACCGTTCCGGTGGGGCTTTCAAAGATGCCGACCTTCTGATGCTCGATCACCTCGAACAAGACGCGCATGAAACGTCTCTGGATTTCATCTGAGGGCAGCAAAGGGAGACATAAATAGTTAGTGTACACCTCCGTCAACGCAATGTCAAGATTGTTAGTGAAGATGTGACTAACACGGTTCGAATGGAAAGGAGAACTGCTCGGGTGGACTGAGAGCCAAGAGCCCAGAGCTTTCGTTGTGGTTAACCATTTCCGAGTCTTTCGTGTTCCGCTCGCCTGGTCCTGAAGGTCGATAGCAGAACGCCAAGGTCAGAAATAGTAGCAAGTAGTATTTATGTAGTGCTTTGGCTCTCGGCGTGGCTGACCTTGCAGATTTCTTTCTGCAGTATGCCCGGCTCACTCCCCCTGCCCGTCTCATCCTCCGCCGATCGATTGCGTGGTTCTTCGATTGCCGGCCATCGACTCAGACTCACCTCACTCTCAGGCAAGTCAGATATCTCTCACCGTCTCCAGACCATGGCCGCCTTGAAACTGACCTTCCTCATCCTTCGCATCCGTGTACAGCTCTGCTCTTCGCTCGTGCTCGGACAACCAACTTGGCCGTCTTGATCCTGTCAACCATCTGTTGTCTGAGTCTCTACTTGAACCTTCGATCGATCTTTTCAATCTCCTCCTTCAGATCACAGGTCCGTAGATTGAACTTAGCTTGACCGTCTATTTGATCTCTAGCTTCTTACCGAATCTCACGTCTGGTTCCCTTCTATCTATGCCTTAGCTCGACTTTCGACACTCTGAACCCCCGTTTTCACCGTTCCGTACACATCCGGTCTCACCTAGCTTTTCTCAATTTACAAGACTGGTCATCGTTCCTGGTCATGCTATCTACATCGGAGCCAATCCTGCTCTACATGATCCGCTGGACCCGAAAGAATGGATCCTAGAACCCTACCAAGCCAGGCATCCTCCCAGCTCCATCGGCGCTTTCATCAAACATATTCAGACGGCCGCCAACACAGTCTCCAGCGATCCATCTGCCCTGCTCGTCTATTCCGGGGGTCAGACTCGTCCTCAGGCAAACCAGTCAACCGAAGCAGGATCGTACTCCCGCCTTGCTAATCAAATGGGATTACATGATAAATTCTCCTTAGGCGCCTTGCAAGCTACGACTGAAGACTTTGCATTGGATAGTTGGACGAATTTGATATATTCGGTCGCAAGGTTCAAAGAGTGAGTGAGTTAATGGTTTCCCAAGATGATCATTGGCCTTGATTGATCTAGGAAAGCCCAGCTCGTGAAGATAAAAAGCTCATCTGAAACAAAAAAAATGATATGCAAATCAGATATACAGGAAGCTATCCCAAGCAGATTACGGTGATTGGACATGCAGTCAAAGCTAAAAGATTCAATGAGTTACACCGAAAAGCGATGAAATGGCCGGAAGAACGATTCAAATATATCGGAATAGACCCTATTGACCTCAATCAATTTGCCTCAACATCAACAACCAAGGAAATTTCGGACCTAAAGGACATCGAATCATCGATGATCCAGGGAGAAAAAAAGGTTTACCTAGAATTCGAGAAAGATTTGTATGGCTGTAACTTGAGCTTGATGGAAAAGCGTAAGAAACGGAATGGCTTTCGGAGGTTTCATCCCTACCTCATCAGCAATCCTGATATTCGAGGTATGTGTGTGTCTGTGTCTGTTGTATTCATTACTTATTCTTCGAAAAGTATCAACTGATGATAAGACGACTGTCTATTTTGTGTATAGGCTTGTTAGATTGGTGCCCGATCAATGGAATTGATGAGTACGAAGGCACCTTACCATGGGCATGACCAAGGCCATGGATTATTCAAACTTTGCGAAGTTGAAAAAATTCGATGTTCGATATAACCATGAAATATAGAATACCTAACATTCCTATATATTCGAGCATGGGTCTTGTCATATTGCCAATTCATATTACTTGTTTCCGTCGGGTTCAGCTAGAGTTCATTGGAAAGAGAGTGCAATGAATCTTTTGAGAATTGAGTGAGGAGCATGTTGAGGGTTTTTACCGATTGGAGCTGAATGGTAAAAAATGGTAAAAACATGCAAAAACCACAACTGAATGTGCTCAAAGCGTATAAACAAAAAGAAAGCTGTTGACACTTGAGAACCATGCCTGATATACCAAGCTGACTAAATTCGAGAGGGAGCTCGTTTTACAACTTCATGATCACCTTTAACAAATGGGAGTTGAGAATCACACTTTACCCAATAGAAATTCGGAAGTGGATCTGTGAATCTCGAGGCCAAAACTGTTGGCAACCTCTCGGATTAATTCGAGGCTTGATGAGTTGTAGCCTGTAGGGCCCTACAGTCCCTCTGTCCACCAGGTTGTGGAATCCAGCACATCTCACTGATGGTCGAAAATTGATGAAATGCAATGCATGATGAAATGGTATCTCACCACATCAACTTTTCTAAGTGTTTTGAGAGGGCGCTTATATTCTGTCCTCAAAATCAATCGACCACGAAATTCAGTCACACACATCATCAACCAGTGACTCCTACACTCTTGGATCACCATCCTCAGCCCTTCCTTTCTCCGTTTGATCATCCCGACACGAGAAATTGACGAAATTGGCCCTCCTCTGTTGCCTTCAATTGTTGCTGTTCCCGCGACAATTGTCTTGTTAGCTGATTATCATGTCATTTAAATCACCCTCATCTTACGACGACCACGGACGAGCAAAATGTTATCGATTCATCTTGGGTTCATGTCTCATTGTCTCGAGATATTAATCGAGATGTTGATTTGATGGAATTTTATAGACCCTTTTAAAACATACCATTCATCGGTGATATCTTTCAAGGGAAGTGCTAGAGGCCCTTATCTGATTAAACCCGAAGAACATTGAAGCTGCACCCCCAAACCAACAGCCCCCTCCGATAGAGCTCCCAGAAATCTCGAGCTGACGTTGTCTAATAGTTGACAGGGGGCGCTTGCGCACATCCCCTAAAGTCTTGCAGCCAATGCTTTATAAGCGTCGTGGTGATCTTGGCAAAATTTCATTTTTCGTATCTCGTGTAAAACGCCTTGGCAACAGTCAACGTCAGTGGTGGAGTCATACTGCTGTCTTTCTCATATGGAAGGGCATAGAACATTCGAGTTTGTGACGCTATAGGATTGAAGGGAAATGGAGGATAAGACTCATGCGTTGGTAGACGTAAGATATAAATTAGGATAGCTAACTTCATTGTATGTCTGACTGTTGTTCAACGGAGCTTTGGTTGTCTTGCAGTAGTTACAATCCTCCGGAAAGCATCAAAAATTTACCGGATGGCATGTAAGGAAAGCTGTCGATCAACAGTGTACGCGCTACATTACCATGGCCAGAATCGCGCGTACATGGCGCAGTTGAGCCATCACGCTGGCGCTTGTATGATGGCTGCTTGGTTAGAGACATGTTTCTTCAACACTTCATAATCATCTCATTCCTCCACCCCAAACATCATCGCTCGGGTGAGTGTGATGGATTTAGGAATCTTGATTATTGAAGCAAAAACGACCAGAGATTGGTGAAGCTCATGCAGGGACGTTTGAAGTGGCAAGCCACGCTAAGCTCAGGATTAACGAGTGACTAGGGTAATTGCATGTCAAGAGGGTTGGATCATTGCAAGAAAATATACTTCACAAGAGTTGAATGAGCCACTAGTTGAAAAGGGAATGTATAACAATAGCCGTTGAGGTGGTAGAGGTCAAGTTAGACAAGAAGAAAGGAAACACAGAGCAGACAATTCCGGGGACTATTGAGAACCAGATTATGAGGAACAGAAGCGATGAGATGACCAGGCCAATGAGGAGGGTATTGGTTGGAGCTATCGTTCGAATGAGAAGAGGACGGCAGAACTACAAATGGTCAGCACGTTCGAAAATGGGAGAAAGATTGGGGCTTTTACCTCTTTGAATGTCACCGTGGCTAATCTCTTCGAGGGACGCTTCATGCCTTCTTGTCATCCTTCTTTTGGTTCTGTGGTGGGTGAGAACAATTGCACGAGGGGGTGAATCGGAACAAAGCAGCCGGATTAGCGGTCCGTTCTGCGCCAGATTCAAGGCAACGCAGAACTGTCTACGTAGGAGGGTTACTTACGTTGGCCTCCTTGCGGAAGAGACCTCCACCGGCGGCGAAGCTGTCGAAGGGGCCTGGTTCCCCGCTCATGGAGCACTTGTTCTGTTGGAGAAGGTCAAGAGAGACAATCGCGCCAAGACCGAAGAAGCCATCGCCGGCGTCGCCGCCACACTGCATGAAGTTGGGACCACCGCCCATGCCGGTCATGCTGCAAGAGTTAGACTGGAGTAAGTCGAGAGGGATGAGCGCATGGTTGACACCGCATTGCATGCCGTTCTGGGCGGAAACAGAGCTGAGGGCGGCGAGAGCAGCGGCAATTGCAACGGTGAAACGCATCTTGTCTTGAAGGATAGACTGGTTGGTCGGAAGGTGTTTTCTAGTGGGTTCTGTGTGTTGTGTGGGTGGAGATGTCCTGTGAAGTGGAGTAAAGCTGGGTGAGGGAGGGACCCAGGCAAAGGAGGGATGGGTTTTTATATCCTGGAAGGCTCTGCTCCGTCAGCTGCTTGCTCATCGGCGCTTCGCTGCTTGGTGCTGGCTTCGGCTTCCTCACGGCTGGGAACCAAGGCCTTGTCACCTGTGGGTTCCCCCAGCCATGTGAATCAAAGTGCCTTGCACTGGTCGGCGTCAGTCGGCGTCCCATGATTAGTGACTGACATCATTGGAAATTTTCAATTGGAATTCCTTAGTCGACAGGTCATACTTATGTAGTTCGTTAGTGACACTCACTCGGTGACGACAGACGTTGAAGTTTTTTAATGTTTAGTGAGAATTTGCCCTGCGGCATTGCCTGGCATTGCGCTCTCCTTACGAATAAAGACATCACACGCCAAACTTTCCTGAGAACGCAACTCAAAGGTCCTTGAGGAGGCTGCAACACAACTTTACACAAGCTGACAATTTTTCAGACCAAAATTTTCGGAAATTTTAGGAGAAGCGCAATAGAAGCGGATCGGGCTTAACTTGCAAAAGTGAGCGGAAGCGTCCCCATCCCTCGTCCGAATTACTGTGCAGCGGTATGACTATGGGCCAGGGGAGTCGCCATCAAATAAAGCGGATTGACTTTTGACACTTGGTGTTTCCAAAACGACGTCGTTTCATGCGTTCCCAGTGACCTTGAAAACTGACAACATCATTCGCCTGTTCATTCCACTCCAGTAGTACATGCTCTAGTGCTCTCGTATTTGATTTGTCTCCTGCGACACTTGACCTTTATTTTGATTTCAAGCGGACAACCCCAGGATGCCGAGCTTAACAAGGCCTCTCGAGAGCCCCACACCACGGGAGCATCTCGACGGCGACCCGCCCGGTGTCTTGACGGACGAACCGACCTCCTCCGACCGAGCCAAACCTTCCTGTCTGCCGACGTCAAATTGGCAGCTTTGCAGCCAGGGGGTCGGCGAGGTCAGGGCGTTGACCCATGCCCACCCATCGGGAGAGGGGTGGCCCGACGACAAGCCGCCGACATCCAATAATTATCCTAGGGCCATGAGCGGTCCTGAGATTATGGATTGATCAAGAGCTCTTCAGTCAGCCCGACCGTTCTCTGCCCACAGTTCACCTGCATTGCTGTCATCAGTCCACCACGGGTGCACCCAGGCGTCTTGAGAACACCTGGGTTGACCGCCTTGAAGGCGTCTCAAACCAATTGAATGGGAGACGCCTTCAAGGCGCCCAGACGTTCCGGCCTGCAAGGCAACTTGGATGCAGGTAGCCAAACGGCTTCAAAACAATTTGAAGTCGACTCAAAACCGACTTGGAAACGTCATCAGGTGCAAGTCGTTTTGAAATTGGAGGCGACTTCAAAAACCAGTCAAGATGCTTTGCGACCGACTTCAAAGTCGTCTTCAAAACGACTGGGGAACAGCTTAGAAATGTCCAGCTATGCCAAAAAAACATTTTGGAGACACTATGTCAGGGATGAAGTGCTGGGTTGGGAGGATTGGATTCAAGCCCACGTTGAACTGGGTCAAGAAGTCTTGTACCCACCTGTCAGAAGATCTTCACACTTCAAAAAGGCTCCTGTTGAAGTTGATTACCTTTTTTCATTACTGTTCTCCGTACCTTCCTCTGATTTCCTGCTATTGTCCCTCTTCTCATTTTAAAATCCAAACTACTCTCTTTGATGCCCAAACTCTTTTGTAAACCCAAATTTGGCCTCATGAGAATATTATAGCATTTTTTGCCTTTTTCCATTGATAAATTTGAGTTTGAAAGGTTAAATAAGGGGAGGTTGATTTTTACAACCCTTCTTTTACAAGGCTTATGCCTTGTAAAAAGCATGCCTTGTAAACCTAACTTACAAGGACAGTCATTCATATATTTCCACCAATCCGACCATTTTTGCGAACTTTGTAAAACATCCCCTGCAAACTATGCCTTGTAATGTAGCCCATTTACCCCAGGAAAAGTAATTTTCCAAGGAAATATTTCACAATGATATCCCTTGGAGAAGAAAAGCACCGCCAAAAAGCATCTCAGGCCCCAAAAATTCAACTTTACAAGGATTGCCATACAAGGGATCTAATTCAGATTTCACAAGGGTTGTAAAGTTCTCAAATTTCTGAGCCATGTGAGAATGATACAAGGGAAAACTCTATTTACAAGGCAAAGAAGGGAAACAAAAAAGCAGATAAAAGCAAAAACAAACCATGCCCAAGCCACTATCCTGTCATCCCCCACTCATTTATAACATTTGAGAAGCTGCTTTCCGGGTACTTGCTCGAATCCCTGCCCGACATGGCTTGATATTTTTTGGTTTTGGGGGACTATCATTCTTCTTTGGCTGGATGGTTTTCTTGCTGGTCTTCTTGCCTGAGACCAGTTGATCTTGATCAACTTCGACTTTCATGGACACTTTGTGAGTTTCCTCTTGGACTCCAACCTTCTGACCATCACCAGTTGTCTGCTGCCCATTGTGGGCCTTCGGGCATTTCAAACGTATCCTGAACTCCCCAGAGGGTTTCCATTTAAGAATGCCAGATGTAGTGCTTACATGAGTTTGAGTTTGACTGGTCAAACTCCCAATCATCGGAGTGACCTCTGCATTGTCCACGGGCTTTCCGCCAAAAGCAATTTTTTCCTTATCTGCGACATCCATAACATTGATTCTTGGAGGGACAGGATCACTTGGGGTGTTGAGGAGCTTGCCCAGATGGGCAAAAGGCATCAAAGCCCATGCACCCTTGTTGTCTCGGGAGATCTTCGCAGTGCTCTCGACCACACATTCCTCCTCACTGGGAGTCCAAGGTTGGGAGTAAAACACCCAGCTTGTGTGGGGAGCCGGTCCAGCAAGAGTGCTATGATCTGGACTGATCAGCCAAGCTATACCCCCATTCTGTCGGTTGTTGTGAATCCAAACACCTGAGATGCCGCCGATGTCCTTGAGAATCTTGGTCCAGTAATGGACCCCATTCCAGAAACCGTGAGAAAAGAGGTTGTATGTGACCCCATGGAAATCCAATCCACCCATGAAGGTTTGCTGTGCTGTTTCGTTGAAGATTTCTGCCACTTGAACCAACATGTACAGGTGTTGAGGGGCACCCTTTGGGACCGTTAAGACAGATTTTTCAATGAGTTGGTGACCATCTTCATCCTTCTCACCAGAACGGCAGGCCTTGCATCAGAGCACTGTAGTGTGCCAATTGTGTTTCAAGTATCAAATTGCATAAAGTCACAGTCCCTCACAGCGCTGTGAGAACTCCTTTGGGAATGGTGGCAGTCCTGTGAGGGGGAAATAGCAGATGAGATATATCACGTATGTAATGATCTTCTACAACTGATACGGCTGGTTTGAAAGACCTTCCCCTCTATTGCACTACACAAGAGTTAACACAACAATTTATTTTATTGTTGTGGCAAAACTGATGATAGAGAAAACTATGTGTAGCAGTCTCTTATCAAACTTAGATCAACGTGGATTCAGCAGACTATTTGAGTGGAATTGTTGAGTAAGATGTGTTTTTGTTTTCTTTCTTTTATATGTTTTGTGTATTTTTGAAAAATGATTGGCATATGTACTGATAATGAATGACAATTTATGAGATACTACTGGGAAAACAAATGTGCTTATTCAGGTATATTTTCCTTCTTACTTAATGCTTGGTTGGGGGCACAATAGTTTAAGATCACTGTCTCTTGTTTAAGATCACAAGTTGTACTAGTTTTTAATTTCCTTTTCCTATGCTTCTCAATGTCTGAATGATCTCAATGGGGCACTTGATTAAGATCACACTGGTTAATGTATGGATTGATTGCTCTGTTCTGTCTGGTTGCTGATCAGATGAGATGATGAGATGATATGAGATCATGAAAAATTGGAATGAGGGGGGAAAGCCCCTCCTTAAATAGTCTATTTTACAACCCGGCTGACTTGTGGTTCTAGCCCTAACCAATAATCTATAAATGGCCAACTTGTGGTTCTAGCCCTATACAAGATTCTCAGTGTACCTACAAACAATGTGGCTAACTTGTGGTTACCCTATGCAATGAATATTGAATATGTAAACAAACTAAGGCCAACTTGTGGTTTACGTTATGCAATAAGCATTTTGTATGCAAATAAAATTTAAATCCCAAATAACTTTTGACTGAGTGGAGCTAGCCTAGTGGTTCCAGTGAGTGACTATGGGTTAAAAGACCTGTAGAATGTGATTATGCCATAATACACCTAAGAATATATGCCCTTCTACATATTGGACTGTGACTTTATGCAATTTGATATTTGAAACACAATTGGCATACTACAGCGCTGACTCTGAGGTGATGCTGTCTGTTGTCCATGCCGCAATGATCATCTGAATCAAACAAGGTTCAATCCCGGCAGCTTCAAACATTTGTTTCTGGACTTGCAATACGGCCACGTCTTGTATGCTGTGGGGACGTGGCTGTGAGATCAATGGCCGGGCTTGACATGTAGACATGTGAACTTCAGTAATCGTGACAACAGTGGGCCGCTACGCTACGCTAAATGGCCATTTAGCGTTAGCGTAGCTGCTGTTGCAGCAACCTTTTTTTGTGTAGTGTTAGTTTGCGCTACAGCCCACTACGCTACGCTAACTTTTAGCGGCGCTAACAACACACCTTTTTTTGGGTAGTGTTAGTGCACCGCTACAGCCACTACAATGCGTTACGCTACGCTACAGTGCTGTTAGCGGCAAAAAAGGCCAAAAAACCGCTAAAAACCGCTAAAAACCGCTGTAGCTTGGTGTAGCGGACGCTTTTTTGCGCCCCATGGGCGTAGTGTTAGTGTGGATGAGTGAAATAAAGCTAACACCCACTGGCGCCCTGCGTGTGTAGTGTTAGTGCAAATTTTCAGATTTGCACTAACACTACGCTACATGTTAGCTTATTTTAGCTACACTAACGCTACGGTTAGTGTAGCTGGCCCACCGTTGATTGTGAATAGCTCTTGAGAAGGATAACAGTTTTTTGACCGCTTCCTGGTGAATGGATCGATGAGTAAGTCAATGAATAGGTCACATGATGCAAAGGTGCCCAGGTATAAACTACCCGGTAATAGTTTGTTGGCAGCCGCTGTGGCGGCAAGAGCGCGCCTTGGCCAAAGCTTAGGCCGGCTTGTTTGGGGCGCATGCGGAATGCTTGCGGCTGATGCGGAAAGCATGCGGAGCTGACACTACACACGCAAGCTGAGGAAAGCGACGGGCTTTAGTAGAAATTCTAGCTTTTGGGACGCAGGAAAGCAGGGAAAAGCAGGCTGAATGTGCAAGGTTCTGAAAAGCTTGCTGCGGGGAATCCGGGTACTGGCGGACTTTGGGGTTCACGGCCGACTGCGGACTGGGGTTTAGTGTACGCTGCGGAGGGGCTACAAGGGAGTGGGAGCACTGAGAGGCAGAAGCGGGGCTCAGAGCGGAGCAGAGGCGGAAGCAGCGGTGGGAGACCTATCCAAGGGCGGCCGGAGGAGTACACTGACTGGCAGGTGTCGGAGGGGTGACGAACGGAGTACGAGGGAGTGACAGTGGAGGACTGCGTGGGAAGCAGGAGGAGAACTTGTGCGGGATAGCTGGCAAGAGTGGAGTTCGGAGCAGAAGGGAAAAGGAGAGGGGGGGACTTATGACTTAGAAAATATCAGAAAACAGAGTGACTTAGGAGTGAATCGTGTATTAGCCTAAAGAATTGTTAGAGATAGAAAGAGTTAGAGTTTTACCTACCAAAATCAGTAAAAGAATAGTTATTTCACCTACCTACAAGACCATCAAGCAAGTTACCCCGGATAACAAACCAGATTAGGACATGTTGCAGAGCGGAGAAGTGCAAGAAAACTCCTAGGGCGCGCCTTACTTTCCACACCGCATGCAGAGAGTTTTGGCCGATGGATAACAATTTCCGAATGTGACCGGCTTGAGTCAATTCCCAAGTTATTCTTGAGTTAAAGTGCTTGACCAGCGAGGTGAAGAGGTCCGTTTTGAGGCCATTTGTCCCACGTAGCCAAAGCGGATTGAACAGAGCATATAGGCTTTTGAGTGAAGCCACTAGCCAGCAGCAGTTTTTCTTTGCCGAGTCATAGATGTAAGTGGAGAATGGGTCCTTGTTGAGATTTGGTGAGTTTTTCGGTCATCCACCAACGCTCTTAGGCATCAAGGCGGCAGTGGTTATAAGGGCTCGACCGTTGTTCAGCTCTACCTTCTTTCAATTTTCTGGATTCTGCTTATGGGGTTTCTGCCACCCAATTGAAATCACAAGATCTTGTTGGGTCTTGTTCTTGGTGCCGTACTATATCGAAACCCCCCTCATGACTGCATGCCACTCTTCTTCAAGTGCCTTGACAAAAGCATACATCTCTGCCATGCCTATCATCAGACATTTTTTCCCTTCACTATAGGTCCAAGGGGATGAAAAACAAACAATTAGTACACTACACTTGCCAGATAAATATGAATCCACAAATTAAATGAAATACCTTATCATGTAATAGAGCCTATACATACTTTCTTGAGCATTAGTGGTATCAGGAAGATTGTTTTGGCTGTTTGTAGAGTTTGTGATCATTGGTTTTGAAGGAAAAAGAATAGCCTCAATATCAACCATCATCCACCAATCTAGCCATCTTTTTTTTCTTTGGGAAGAGTCTTCAAAGCTTGTCAATCTTCTGCTCATGAGTTGGCTTTCCTGGCTTGGGTAAAATCAAAAGATCAATACAAAGTTTTTGGTAATGGGCCTCCCAATCATTGTTTGTCAGCCCAGCTGCAAAAGATACATAATGGAGTGAATCATGGATAGCAATAAAAATATGATTCACTTCTTGTTCTGGTGGGAAAACTGCACAATTTCTTTTCACACGGGTGACCTGGGCTTGAAAATGCTTGTGGCACCCCTTCAACTTGGAGAGAGCCTGTTGAAAATTGGTTACTCCAAAGAACTTCATGTAAGCCGCAATGAAGCCCTCCCTCTGCGCCAGGGAAAAGTTGACAACCTGGCAAACAAGGGTCTCACAATCAGATACTGTAAATGAGGGCCGAATGAACTGTTCAAATAGGGTAGTGAAATGGGCCTGGTAGTATTTGGTGCTGAGTCCTCGGATCTAGGAGAGTTGAACTGGTATCCACCAAGCCGTCTCCTTGCAGAAAATTGAGGTAGATAGCAAGTAGCCGATCTCGAATAGCCTGTAAGTAAAGTCAGATAGGAGACCACCACTATACACTTTGTTGTTATGATCAGGTGTAACCAAACGTTCCCCCATCCACTTTTTTTTTTGAAATGTGAAGTGCTCAATGCCTGGTTTGAAAGATGAAGAAATAATCAGGAGCCCCACACTAAAAGTATGTGTCAGCAATATGGAATAGGGATGATGAGTTCAATGGAACCGGACTGACTGGTTCCATTGGAACATATCCAGCAAGAACTTATCACCTAGCCCTGCACCCCCCTTACCCGGGTTGATTCCCAGGTTGGTGAGCATAATCCAACAATGGTAACGGACTCAATCACTATTCACAAATGCCTCATGGATTTTGGTCACACTTTCAAAGGGGTTCATTGAAGCTGTGGGCTTGCCTAGCTATAGAGGACCCAGGAGAGTACTCATCAGATCAGCTTAATGACCTTTATGAAGATAGATGGACTCACTTTGAGTTTGAAAGCACCAGCACTAGGATTCTTCATGATTTCGTTTTTCAGCTTTACTTTTGACAGCGGGTCCGGATTCTTTGGAGATGGCCATGGGTGGTGGTGGAAGCCATGATGTCGGAGAATGGCCCAGTTGGTGACCTAGCTCTCATCAAAACGGGCCATTGTATTTTTGCAGGCTTGATGAGCGACTTTACCAGGACACTTTCCGGCAGCGCCGGTGTAAAGCTCAAAAGTGTTTGTGAAAACCTTTTGCTGAGTGTGGAAAGGGGTGAATGAGGATACCTCTGCCTTTCCTGGATCACTAGACACTAGACAAGCCCACCAATCTCAGATTGGAAGGTTTAATAAAGTGATAGTGGAGTGTATCAAAAGATAACTGTGGCTTAACAGGTGGACAAAGGGTTTAACCCAGTTTTAGAAGGGTCTAAAGGTTGA